TCCTCCCCAGGTGCAGGACCTTGCAAACACTCGGGGGAAGCTTGAGGTGCTTACGGCGCTGCTTCAACTAAGGGGCACAACCATTCCCCAGCCCCAGTACTCACAGCTCTCTTTGGAGCTCAGCCTGGGAAACTCATTGCATCACTTGGGAAAAACATTGCAGCAGATTATGTAAAATCCGTCTTGTTCTTGGTCTCTCAGTGGCAGAACAGAAGACTTAAACATTTCTTACCTTTCTGTGCAACAAAACTGCAAACTATTGCTTACATTTATGTGTTCGCTACCTCAGCAATGTTTAGGCGTAATTGCTTGGCAAACTTTTACATGTTAAATAGTAGAGGCATTTGTTATAACTCTATTTTGAGACAAGTGTTTTTAAACTATATGACAAAGTAATATGCAGATTCAGCATGATTTTTAGGTCTTTGGTTGGTGTCTTTTTTTTCCTACCTACCGAATATGTACAGAACTTTCCTCTCTCAATGTTGTCAGATGTTTTTGTTCTTGTTGTTTTAAGATTCTAATTTACTGCCAAGCCGTAATTCTTTTTCCTTTCTGAATTGGGTGTGGCAGGAGTTATAAAGGAATATAATGTAATCATTTTGGCAGGGAAAGTGAACCAGAAACTAAATATGTTTGCAGCATGTGCTGTATATGTGGCTATGGTACTAAAAGGTATGTAGTTAGATGTATGTTGATAGAACTTTTTACTTTTCATTCTATTGCTCTACAGTATTTGTTAGATATATACAGCAGCACTAGTTACTTCATACTAAAATATAAGTATATTCACCTAGGATTTTTTTTTTTTTCAGGGACTTGTGTTTTCCTAGATACACTGCCTGAAGCAGATTAATAGAGATATATTTGTTGTCTTTGGGTTACCAAATGCCATCCATACTGAAAGATATTTCTGCAAATACTTAACTTCATGTACGCATTAGTCATACTAAAGGCAATATGTATTTTCTTGTGAGTAAAGTTCAATATGTGTACCTGTTATTTAAAGATCAGGGTCAAAGACTACGTATTCCAAAAGACAACTGTAAAGCCAAGACAGTGAAAAAACTTCAGTTACAAGTAGGATTATGTAAATTACAAGTAAGATTACAAGTAAATTACACTAGATTACATATTTAGTTTATAGCAAGATTTAAAATATATTAAAAACACATGCTTGTTTCAAACTTTCTTTTAAACTATGCTGAATACAAAACAATGCTTCTACTTTTTTCCTCTTATATTAGCACCATGGAGATTTCACAGTATCACTTAGTGATGTGCTGGAAACTTGGAAATACTTGTTACATAAAAAATTGGGATTATCATGCAACATAGAAGAACCTGAAAATTATGCTGACCAAAAGAAAGCCTACGATACCTTTTTAGCAAGTAGCAATATGTTGGATCTAATAGACATTTATCAGAAGTGTTACGAACTTGCACTTGTGTCTGAAGATGAAAGCATAACCCCCGTAAGTATTTTGTTTGTTCTCCAATGTTGTTTTGATATATGTCTATATGAATTTACAATATGCTAAAAATGCGAATAAAACCACTAAATTATTCACATTCGTTTTCTGCATAGAGATGGAGTGGAACATGCATAGAGTGGAACATGAGTTTAGATTGTTAAATCTTTTAAAGAGTTCTTAAATTCATTCATTTTTTTTTCTCTGTATCAGGATGATGGATGACTCTGATAGCTGCTCTTTAAGAATGTCCCTGTCTTTCAGGAACAGAGTTGAGAAATGGACCGTAGATATTTGATAAAAGTAGAATAACACTTAGAGATTAAAATATGTGTTGGAGATTGGATTATATATTGATATTCAGTCAAAATGTGTGTAATACTTGTTACCTTAAAATTATCACACTCTTAAACAAAAGTGCCCACGCTATATGTAGTTCCATTTTAGATTTTTTCCAGTCACCAAAAGAGGTTGTTCTTCAACCTTTCAGTCAACCATCTTCATAGTTTGTTACTTAAATGTTCTGCAAATGTTCTGCTAGTACTGTATGTGAGGTCATGCTCTAGGTTAGATAAATTGTAGTGTAATTTCAATCCTTTGGCTCTAGCAATACGATGAATTTTTTGATCTATCAGATCAAAATGCAAGTATCAATTTAAGAATATGTTTAAGAGAAACACAGTTACACCAAATTATTTGATTCTGTGTTTTTAGTGTTCACTCTGCATTTGTAAACATAACCAAATTACTATTCTTTCATCTTTTAAGTTTGTGTCATGTTCAATTAGATGGTTGTTTTAATATGAGGGAAGTTATTTAAGTAATCGAACATATTTACGCCATGATTAAAACACAAGAGTTTACCTTCCAGCCCTAGTAAGGATGAAAAAATCTTTTGATCATGAAAGTGGTCAAATATTGCAAGAGGTTGTGCAGACAGTATGTGGAATGTCATCTCTGGAGTCTGAGTTGAGGACCTGCAGAGGTTTTTATCAAGCTTGCCTACTTTAAAGCTTCAGTGACCCTACACTCAAACAATCTTATAATAGACATAAAAGAGACTGTCAGAAGGACTGAAGTGGAGCAGGAAAGCTGATTTTTTTTTTTTTTTTTTTTTTTTGCTATTCTTATGTGGAAGATATAAGACTAGAAGATTAATAAGCTCTTCCTAACCAGCATGTATAAGAGTGTTAAAAGCTCTGCCCAAAGATAAGCAGCTGCATTTAGTGTGAATGTCTTAAATTCCTATATGAGATTTTTTTGAAGTTAATTTCAGTACTGTACCTCATTGCTCTCCTAAAACAGTTGTACTTTCAAAGATGAAAAAAGTAGCTTGTAGAGGCTCTTCTAACCTGAAAGCACTAGCAGACTGGAGGAAGTTGTAGTTTTGCTAGCTTTAAATACTACTTTTACTTTTCACTCATTTTCAGATTTACGTTTACTCTTTTTTTTATTAAAGGTTCAAATGTTGGAATTTATTTCTGGTGTAATGAATGTATCAGAAAATAATGGTTCAGTTGTCTCTCTTCCTTCTACACCTGTCAACAGACAGGACCAGGAAAATGTGAAGGTAAAAGCTGTTTCTTTTTTTGTACTCTTCTGTATATATGCAAAAATTAACACAAATTGGATTATAACACAGTTTATTTTTTCAATTATTCCTAGTCAAATTGCTGGATTGAAGTAGTGCACATATATTCAAACTCTTATCACTTCTGTGTAATGCAGGTGTGTACACAAGGCTGAGTGCACAAATGTGCACTGTAGAAACTAGCCCTGCAATAGTAGCCACTTGATGTAGACTTAATCCAGCTTGCAATACCCGGGGGAATATATATATATATATATATATATGTATATATAGACATATGTGTATTTTCAAGTCCACTTGTTTTTAAAATGCTGCCTTCACCAAGAGTCACATGGTTTGCCCAATGCTGCATACAGGTTATAAGCAAAGTAAATTTCCTGGACTGGAACTTGTTAGCTCATATTCTATTAAGTGGAGAAGAAATCTTAACAGCAAGAGTATTGGTAGATGTAGCAAAGCAAACAAGATCTCCCCAGTAGAGGACTAAGAACTTTCTGGGAATACTGGATTCTCTTTTCTGACTTTCTCAGTACCTTAAAACACGAATCTCAGAAAACTGTATAACAGGTGCCTGAAACACTAAAGCCCTTTCTAAACTTGTGATCCTTATCCTCATGATAAGAGGCAGTTTCAGCAGAGTTCTTGAGTACAATTCAGAAAATAGGGCTGAATAAGCAAGTATACATCTTCTGAAGGGTGTAACACCAGGTTGCCCCAAAGGTTCTTTGTCACTTGTGCACTTGTTGATATGGTTCTTCCCTAGATAATCCTACTACAACCACCCTATGGTTTACCTAATGATAAAACTTTGCGATGTGTAATAAATTTTTTTTTATTTCTTTATTTCTTTTATTTCTATTCTTTTTATTTCTTTATTTCTTGCTCTCTTTTTTTCTTCTTCTTTTTTCCTCAGACCGTATACCAGCATATTTTGACTGTCTACATTTTTTACCCTATATTTCCTGTTGAGTGAGGCACAGGTTTTCAAACTATCTTTCCTTTCATAAATGGTCGTGTGTGTGACAAAATTGAAATTCTTACATTCTGAGACTATTTGTGGCAGTGTTCTGCATCCAGTACAGCAAAAATAATTTTAATGTTAAGTTTGGTGTAGTGGAGTTTTTGTGATTAAATTCCTGTGGTTGTTAGGGTGGAGAGGGGGAGAGGGGAGGGGAGAAGAATGAAGGTGAAGAAATCTGAGGGGTGGCTGGTGGAGAGTCTAAAATCTCGCCCTAGTTGAAGTTAATAGCAGATCTTTATGTGATTTAATTGTGCTGATATTTTGCCTTTGGATAGAAGAGGACTATCTGCAAAGATAGATTGAAATAGAAATTCAAAATAGAAATTGACAGCCAATTTTAGTCGTTGAAGATCATACAAATATTTTGTGAATATTCTATATGGTATATGTAAATTTTAATGCATGTTCATCATGCTTGCTTCAGTTAGTATTTCTGGAATCCTGATACATAGAGGATTACTTTGAAATTATGCAAGGTGAAATTCTTACATTTCCAAAAGTCGTATTAGTATGTATTAGCTCTTTAAAAAATAGAACACAATTTAGCACACAATTTAGAACACAATCGTTGTGATGACTAATTAGTGTGATGCTTTCTTATGCAGGTGGCACATTTGGCAAAGAAGTTTGTTTATTCCTATTTAAGCTTGTTGGTGAATTCTAAGAATGATCTGGCATTGGCTCATATCCTAAATGTTCCGGACAGAGGACTTGGTAGAGAAGCCTTTACTAATCTGAAGCATGCCTCACAAAAGAGAAAAATGTCAATTTTTCTGGTATGTGTCTCAAATGAAGCTTGCTAGAAGAATCTAAATGGAGTTCGGGGCATTCTTATTTAATTTTACTGAGCATGGTGCTATCTCAAAAACAATCAGAATTAAATGAGTGAATTCTCAAGAACCATTGTTGTGTCTGATATTCAAAAGAATGAAATTTTGCATGCACGGTGAGTTGTGTGTAACAAACGTCAGCAATAAAACTGTTGCTGAAACAACTGCATTATCAGATTTGAATCCTCAGGTTGAATGAAGATGGAAAATGTGTGAAATTTCAAGCGTGGGATTAACTATTTAAGTTCCAGTTGCTCTGTTATTATTATATGATTGTGTTTATTTAAAAAAAAAAAAAGGCATGTATTTGGACTAGATTTCTTACCCCTTACTCAGAGTTATCAAAGCGGAAGCTTCTCTGCACTGTAAAGAAGCCTTCTTTTCTGACATTCCTGTGTTTGAGAGTCTTGCAAAGCCAAAATATTTTCCATTGGGAAGGCAAGGTCTTATGCACCATACTTTATCCATAGGAAATCTTTAACACAAAGACAGGAATACTGGCAGGTTTACTTTACTTTTTTTACTTTTGCTAGAGTAATTTCAGTTGTACTTTTTCCAGTCCTAAGAGCTTTTTAATTTAGCTGTTTAGCCTGAAAGTAAGGTTCGTTTGTGGAACTGATATTACTGTATTTGTATCAAGCAAAATGGATTATCACCTTTTCTGTCAATTTTCTAGAGAAACTAAAAAAAATAGAAACTATTCTGACTGCCTTAAAATTTGAAGTGTTATGCTTTATTGTTCTGGTTTGGGGAGATCTCTTGTTTTCATGATCGTAATTATGTATGAAATATATGGAAGCTCTCAGAAGTGGGTGCCTATGATGATAGGAGCCTTAACTATCTTAATTTTTCACAAGTTTTGGACAGAAATTGTTTTTATTGGCAACTCTTATTAAAAAAAAAAAAAAAAAAGGCCAAAATAAAAACACAACTGCACTACTGAGAACCTTGAAAAAGGTTCTCAGGTCATGAGCTATACTCTGAATAGAATAGTTTTTGTGAGGTCGGCACATGCATTTAAACAGCAACATTAAAAAATATACCCTGTGCTAATAAAATTTTCTTGTCTTGACAAAAATCCAGCATAAAATATCAAACCAGCTAGTTCATTTTCATTTGTTTTGTGGATTTTGCATACTGCACTGCTAAGTATCAATCTTGCAAGTATTTATGGCGAGATGTAAAAATTTTATCATTAAGAGACATTCTATTGGTTTCAGATTACTTCTGCTCTCAGCTAATTTGGATACACTTGTTGTATGTTCATAGAGAGAGGATCACTTTTTCAAAAATAAGATTGTGTTAGATAGGTCTACTGTTTCATATTTCAAAACCTTTTTTTTTCTGTTAATAGACGGCAACATCTTTTATCCGAATGGTAGAACTTGGAGGAAAAAGCTATGAAACTTCATTATTTGATCCTTTAAAAATCCATGTAAAGGGGCTTACAAGTTTTGTTAATTTTATTGACAAGCTGGAGGAAATTGTTGGTGAAGTCTTGGATCCAAGGTAACAGAATCTGTCTGTCATGAGAGCTTTATTTTTTCCTCCATGTCCATATTCTTTCTTTGATATTAAAGCTGATGATTATGATGGTTATCCAGCCTTGTGTAGGAATATTCTTGGGAGGGCTGTTGTGAAGTTTTTCGTTTTGAGTATCGAGTATTTGACTTATTTTTTGAGTCCTGAGGTTATTTTTTAGGATGCCTTATAAATGCTATGTTAATTTAGAGAGAAGCATGAGTACAATGTAATAATTCCAGATGGTAAGTGCTGGCATTGGCATTAGAATAGGAAGGTAAACATTTCTTAAGCATTATAGAGAATTTCAGCAAATGAGTTATAACAGTCTTGTTCTCAATGCTAAAGAGTTTGTTTATTTTTTTTTTAAGTTTGAATTGAGCCTAATCCACATGCAGCTCAAAACAAAACGTTGTAAGAAAACCATATGCATTAAGTAAATTACTGATTAGATTTAGATTGCTTTTTTTTTCCTCATGCTTCTTTTGTTCTTTCATTTGAACTCCTGGATGCTAGAGGTGTGCTCTCTACGTTTTTAATCAAAGGAATTTTTGACCTAATATCTAATGTGTGCTTTCCCTTTGTTAATACACATTTATAAAGATAAGAAATAGAAAAATATTTATGTGCAGTAATTTTATCATTTTTGTGCCAGAAAGACCTATTTATTTATTTATTTTTCCTGGTACATTCATTAGGTTGCACATATATGTTTAGTTGTAACTAACTTTGGTTGAGGCGTGTTGGTGTATCACTGACCAAGAATAGAAGCCAGGTGAACTTCTATTCTGTTTCTAGTATCTGTTGCTGGGCTGTGCAGAGGTTTTGTAACTGTGAGATGTGAAGTACTGTCATTAATGTTTTTGTTTGATATGTAGCAGCTCAGTGGTTAGAGTAAAGCAGTATTCAGTTGTCTGTCTGTCTGTCTTGAAAGAGTTTTCATTGGTAGGCTGAAGTTTTTCACTTTTCACAGACTGCCCGACTGTGCTACAGCTTAGAAACCTTCACAACATTCATGAGCAAAAATAAACCATTATGTTTTTCCCTCTGAAGTGTTTAATAAGCTATGTGAGTGGGGACTGTCTGTATGTCTTGAAGACAGACAGATTTGACAGTTGTTATGAACTCCAGAAGAAGCAGTGTTACTCAGTATATCTCTTTAGTGCTATTGCTACTGTAGTCTTAAGAAGTGGGAGGAAAGGAATAGTACAACAAAAGTTTTCGGTTACTTAGTTTTTAGAAGCCTGCTCAGAAATCTAAAGCCAAAATGTACAACCTACCTGTGCGGCATTGCTATGTCTCTGAGATTGAGGTTAGCTGAGGTACAAATCAAAAAATGTGTTATTTTTGATTGTTTGCTTCCTTGATAATTGAAAGTCTCAGTTGGTATTACGGGAACACATGTTCAAAAGACTTTCCTTGATCTACTTTCCTTCATGTTTTGCTTCAAAAACTTAGAAATGGAATTGAGAATGTTGGACAATGACGGAGTATGCTTAAGAACATAATAGATTTAATACAATCAAGTATGTGCTTATCTGTTGACAGTAAAAAGGCTTGCTCCAGTCGCAAGCTGTAGTATAGAATGGAAATTTAACAAAAATAAAAATTTGATCCAAATGTGGCACAAAATGCACTTCTACTTCAAAGCTAGCTTGCTTACAAAGGTACAACCAACTTTGTAGATTCAGGGAGTATTCTCTGAGCAGAACAAATATACTTGGAACTCTCTGGAATGTGGAAGCTTCTGAAGTTTACTGCTCCTCCTCCAACAGATGTGTAAGCTTTGAAGAAGAAATAGGTGAAATTTCAAGAGTCAGTAGCACGAGTGCTCCTTAAAGTTTAGGGATAAGGCTTGTAAACCTGAAGATATTTACATGTTTTAAGTA